GTTTAAAAGAGCGCAATTATGGGTTTTTTTTTCAGTAAACCAGGTACCATTAAACTATCTTGACACCTGCAGAACATACGACAATCGGACTCGGTAAAATATCTGAAAATAGTTTATGATAACCACTACCTTTGACATGTCCACGTTGAATACCTAACCATACATACATACATACATACATGCATACATACATACATACATACATACATACATACATACATACATACATAAATGCATACATACATACATACATACATACATACATACATACATACATACATACATACATACATACATACATACATACATACACACATACATACATACATACATACATACATACATACATACATACATACATACATACATACATACATACATACATACATACATACATACATACAAACTATGAAGTTTTGGTAGTTTTGGTCGTTGCGACAGCGTTTATTTGAGGAAAAACCTCGCTAAACGAACGGGCAAAGCCAGGCCACAGACGATGGCGATGATGATGGCACAGAGTTGCCACGAGGAAGAGGCAAGCGAATGATGATGATTATGATCATGCATGGATGAGAACGATGTAAGTAACAAACGCCCACAGTAATTCCCCCCACTCGGAAGCGGACACCTTGGCCGCCGTAAGTCAAAGTGACGGGGATTGTCGCGTGAAAGGCTTCACGCGAGAAACGGGGACTATCTCGGTACTGCGGTAACGGTGGTCTGTTGGGGTGACAAGTGGTCTCACACGATAATTGACCGGTGAAGTCTGTTCTAAATATATGTATGGCCCGATGAAGCGCGGTTGGAATTTGTCATAGAGACCAGGAGTGCGAATAGGTGTCAAAAGCAGCACCTCGTCACCAGGTTGGAAAGACACAACGCGATGGTATGCGTCATAGATGATCTTTCGCTCATGATGTCTCGCTTCAGTATTGATGCGAGCCTGATGGTGAGACTGGGCATGGCGGGAAATATATCCTTCGCTAGAAGACTGACATGAGTTGTCATGGCTGTTAAAGATGAAGACGTCGAGAGAGGTAGTCGGGGTGCGTCCGTACACGAGCTAAAACGATGAGTAGCAAGTAGTTCGCTGAACGGCAGTGTTGCAGGCCAAGGGGAAGAATCGTAAAAAATATCCCAGTTTTTGTGGTCGCGTTGGACGTAAACAGCTATCATGTCAGCAAAGGTTCAATGAAATCTTTCTGTGAGGCCATTTGTCTGAGGGTGGTAGCTTGAAGCGGTCTTGTGAGTAGTTTCAGAAGCGCGCAGTACTTCATTTACCATTTGTGACAGGAAAACTTTGCCGCGGTCACTAAGCAGTACACAAGGAGCCCCATCACGCAAGATTATGGCGTGAAGAATAAAGTCTGCAACTTCCACAGCTGAGCCTGTAATAACAGAGGAAGTCTCAGCGTAGCGTGTCAGGTGGTCCACGGCAATCACTATACATCGTTTGCCAGCAGACGTGACGGGGAGAAGCCCGTAAAGGTCAACACTTACAACCTCGAACGGCATTGAAGGGCACGGAAGTGGCTGTAGAGGTCCAGCAGGTGTAGACGTCGGGAGTTTACGACACTCGCATGGGTTGCAGGAACCGACGTACCACGCTACACTAGAAGAAAGGCCAGGTCAGTAATAACGACATCGAATGCGGTCAAGAGTTTTTTGAAAACCAAAATGACCAGCAGTCAAGTCATCGTGGAAGGCTTCGAGCACTTGAAGCCTGAGAAAGTGTGGCAGTACAGGAACCTAGCGCTGACGGTTATGTTGGTAAATGTGGCGGTAGAGAACCGCATTGTCCAGCCTAAAGTGCAGGAGTTGACGACAAAGTGGCGCGTTTGGTGAATGAGAAAGTCCCGAAAGGTGGTCCATCATGCGTCTGCAGTATGCATAGGATCGCTGGCGGGAGATAAATGTTGGCTCATCGTCCGAAAAGGGTTGCCCTATCGATGCGAGCGTATGAACTTTGGTAGATGTGGCAGATGAGTTCTCAGTAACGCTAATATAGGTAGTTGGAAGTGGGCAACGAGATCAAGCGTCGGCGTCTTGATGTTTTCTACGTGACTTGTGTGTTATGTGAAAGTCGTACTCCTGCAAGCGTAGTATCCACCGACCCAAGCGTCCGGACAAGTTCTTCAGTTTAGAAAGCCAGCATAAGATATGGTGGTCTGTAACAAATGTAAAGTGACGGCCGTGGAGATAGGGATGGAACTTCTGTGCCAACCAAACCACAGCCAAACACACTTACTCAGTTATCGTGTAGTTCTTTTCGGCAGGGGTGAGTACGCGACTGGTATATGCAACAACTTTCTCTAGGGAAGACTTGCCGCGTTGTAGAAGAACTGCTCCAATATCAAGGCCGCTAGCGTCGGTATGGAGGGTAGTTGGTGCGGCTTCGTCAAGGTGGCAGAGCAAAGGTTCAGATATGAGGGCCCGCCTAAACAGGTCGCGTGCCGTTTGACATTCTTGGGACCACATAAAGGGGACGTTGGAAGCAAATAGCTCGTGTAATGGAGCAGCAATAGAGGTAAAGTTCTGGATAAACTGGCGAAAATAGGAGGCGAGGCCAAGAAACCTGCGAAGCTCCTTTGGTCTTTCGGGACGCGGAAAGTGAAGGACTGCAGAAATCTTGTCAGGGTCGGGCTGAATGCCATCTTTACTAAGGACGTGTCCTAAGACCTTGATATATTTTCTAGTGAAAGAGCATTTCTTAGTGTTTATTTGGAGCCAGGCGCCAGCAAGGCACGTCATAACTTGATCCAATCATTCTAGGTGCTCAGGAAATGTTGACTGAAAGATAATAATGTCGTCCAGGAAGAAATGGCAACTTTTCTATTTCAGGCCGCGCAGCACGGTAACTATCATACGCTCAAAAGTCACAGGTGCATTGCAGAGCCCGAAAGGCATCACGTTGAATTCGTATAGCCTATCGGAGGTTGCGAACGCCGTTTTCTCCTTATCGTCTTCAGGCATGGGCATCTGCCAGTACCAAGAACGCACGTCGATGCTTGAAAAATATTCCGCGCCTTGTAGGGAATCAAGGACGTCATCAATGCGTGGCATAGGGTACACGTCCTTGCGTGTGATCTTATTGAGCACCTGGTAGTCCGCACAAAAACACACAGAGTCGTCCTTTTTGCGGACCAAAACAATAGGAGGTCACCAAGGGATAGACGAGGGACGGATGACTTGCCTTTAAAGCATGTCAGCAACGTTTTCTTCTATATATTTCTTTCAGGTAAAGACACGTGGTAGGGTCGGCGGTGTACGATAGATGTCTTAACTGTTTCGATTCGATGTGCTGTAGTAGTCGACCGGCCAAGCTTAGACGAGCAATTCTCGAAAGAATTTGCGTGCTTATGCAACAATGCGAGCAGCTGATGCGTCTGTGAATTTGTCAAGTCGCCGTTGATAGCGGTGATAAAGGTGGAGGAAGAAACATGCTCATCGAGGGAAGGGTCTTTGAATGCGATAGCCTGAAGTGGCATGACAAATACAGGCTTGATGTCGGTTATACGGGCCACAGTAGTGCCCTGTGGCAGTAAGATCTCCTCTGGTGTAGAGTTTACAGCGGTGACAAGTGCAGAGCCATTGCAAAAACGAACGACACCGGATGGAAGAACTAGGCCTTTACGAACGCAAAGTGGTAACGGGGAGACCAATACATCACCGTGATAGATGTCGTTGGACATAATGCTCACAATTTGTTCTTGTAGTGGCGGCAGTTCGATGTCTTTCGCAGCGACCAAACGAAGTGGCTTTTTATTGTCACCGTCAAGCATGAAGTCGGTGTCAGTAAGGTAAACGACGCGTTGTCCACAACAATAGGCCGCGGAAGCAAATGATAGGAAATCCCTCCCTAAAATTAGTCAGTGAGAGCAGCGGGACGGGGCAGCAAACTGGACATGATGGCGGATGCCGTCTATGAAAAAATGCACAGAACAAAACGCGAAAGAGCGAATGGCGTTGCCCTGACCAGCAACTAACGTGGGACCATCGTAAGGCGTCATTACTTTCTCTAAACGTTCACACAAATCAGCACGTATAACAGACAATGTCGCACCTGTGTCCACCAAAGCATCGACTCGCACTCCTACTTCCACAGAAACCATGTTTCTGTGGAAGTAGACACGGGCGCAAACAACACGGGCGCAAACTCACAACTGGTTGACCAGTTGTGAGTTTGCGCCCGTGTTGTTTGCCTCTTTTTTCCTTGTGTCCGTGTACGTGTTTGCGCAAAGAAGTCATGAATGAGTACCAACTCGCCCAACTTTCAGTACTGTTGTTAGGTATAGCGGGCCGCAAAGGAATAAAAATGAATGAAATCACGCATGCTCTGGCGAAAGCTACTCTCTGTGGTCAGATACTCTCAATTATGCCGACAACAGCTCTAATATTTCGTGACAGATTTAGAAGGCGTGCCATAGAGCAAGACACAAGGAAAACATTATTCGCTCATCTAAACGAGTATTGACACATCTTGTTCCCTTGGCGTAGGAGTTTCTGTTCAACAAGACAAGAGGCAATTATTTTTACTAGACTGCCCTGTCGTTTTCGAAAATTAAACTATTATATGCACAGAGCTCGTATGGCTCCTTCCCCTCGTCGCTCGTTTTACAATGATAGAAAAAGAATCGAGAACCATTTCTTATCATTCAAAATGGTGTTCAATCGCATTGGAGTGGATTTTAAATTTTCAAATATTTTATCCTTGGGAGCATCAGGTCATTGTGCATTTCCGTTCCGTCGCACAGAAAGTTCTATCTGAATCAGGGTGGCTTTCATATCGATTACCATCATTATTTATTCTAACCTATATGTAACTAATCTGTGATACAGTTATTAGTGATCATTTTTACTTATAAATAATTCGTTTCTCCGCTACTCTCACAGTGGGTGTCAGCCATATGTACAGGTGGTACTAATAATCATCATTTGCGCGAACGGCTCACGGCGTGCAGCGACGTCCACTCACAGCCGCCGCCTCCCCTTGTTCCGCCATGGATGAACATGGGGGAAGTGCAGCTGCATGCAGGTTGGACACCGCGTTGTCCCAGCGCAAGAAGCCGTCGGAGCAGTGTCTGCTGAGACTCAAACAGGACCTGAAGAACATATTCGACAACCCACTGCCGGGAGTGTTTGTTGAGCCCGAAGAGGGCAACATCAACTACATCCACGCCATCATCGTGGGACCCGACAACACGCCGTACCAGGGAGGCTACTTCCATTTCGTGCTCAAGTGCCCCCTCTATTACCCCACCTGTCCCCCACAGGTACACTTCATGACGACAGACAGCGGAAGGGTGCGCTTCAATCCGAACCTATACAGCAGTGGGCTCGTCTCGCTCAGCGTTCTGGGTACGTTTCACGGCCCCTCGTGGAACCCGGAGATGACCATCCAGACGGTGCTGGTTTCGATCCAGTCATTGTTCATCGAACACCCTTTGGCCAATGAACCTCCACTGGGACGCGAGTTCGGAACTTGGCTTGAAACGACGACTGGTTACAACGCCAAACTGCGCTTCCAGACCCTAAGGGTCGCGATTTGCGACGCACTTGAGGCTTGCCTCCTCGGCAACTCATCGTACCCGCAGGTCCTGCAGCAGGCTGTGATGAAGCATTTTGTAGAACAATATGCCAAGTACGAAATTGCAGCCTGCTCCCAACTTGGCGATGACTCAAGCATGGAGGAATCTCAGCAGCACAGAGCGCTGCTCGAGCGACTGCAAGACTTATATGGTCGAATACTGCAGAGGAACGCTAATATTTAGAAAATGTGGCCATGCGACCAGAAGGGCATCATGAACTACAAAGGCTCATGAGGACTTTTTTGGAGCATAAGAGATACCTGTGCGATAGTGCGGGATCAAAGGATTACATTTCGCACACACACTAGGACAAAATTAGTTAGCAAACAGTTAATAAACCAGTGGCGTAGCCAGAAAATATTTTCGTGGGGGAGAGGGGGGTCACACCGACCCGAAAGGAGAAAAGAGGGCGGAGCAGGCTGATGCCTGAGTCTCCCCCCTCTCCTAAACTCCTGGTCTCTGTGACGTGACTATCGCCGGTACTTTAGGCAGAATGTGTATATGTTTATCAAAGTCTTGAGACTCCCTCGCCCCTTGCGTATATTCCAGTGAAGAAAGGAGTTAGTAAATAATAAAAGTCAAGTAATCGCTTTAAAATACAGTAAACGACAGGTACAGTAACCATCAGGACTGACGGCCTCTCGTCACACCATTTCTTAAACTAGTCTTCGAATCATTGTGACGTGTACTCGAATATTATTTTAATTTGAGGATGGCTCTGCTTGCAATTTGGAATGAGAGGTAAACACAGCATGTTTTTTGCAAAGGAATAATTACATTTCGCATAAGCTTATTTCCTGAGCGAAATTATTGCGATCAATTTTTGTGACTGCATGCCTATGGGAATAGTTTTTATTTTAAGCTCTATATGTCAAGCAGCCCTTACGCATTCAATCTATGCCGCCTGCGTATAGGTCATACTCACCTTACCCAAAACTTTTTCTTGCGCGGAGAAGATCAGCCGGAATGGGAACATTGCAAGGAACCTCTGACTATCGATCATATTTTAATAAGATGGCCAGTCTTTGAAAAAAGTAGACACGTTTATTTTAAACAATTTTACAGAACATAAACACCTCTACATTCAATGTTAATACTATCAGAAAATGCACCCAGCCCCATACAGTATGTGTTTAGGTTTCTAGACCCTGCAGGTATTCTAAACAAACTGTAAACAGAAATATGTTTTTCGTCTCATATTTTAACGCTATTATCATAATCACCCAGTGTCTGGCGCATCATAGCCATTGTTGCTTTTGCGCCATAAAACCCAACGTAACTAACTAACTAACTAGCATTGACACCTTTTTGTGAAGATTTCATACTTTACTGCGTGCATCCAAGCATGCTTGCAATACGCAATAAATAACCGTTTTTGTAAGTTATGAGGCACGTTGGCAACTCGTTTTTGCGCACGTTATTTTTCGGGCAGATTTTTTCGCAACTTTGGTTGATCTTAGAGTTCCCTGTGACGTTCGATAGCAATGAAGTAGTCCAATCGTAGAAGTAATGTCGTGAAATGTGCCAGGGCAAGGTGATCATTGTTGAGAAATATTTGCTTAGTCTCAAACAAAAATGCACACGGGACCATACTATACATACTCACCTAGAAATAGCTTGTTCGCTGTGTATACCAGCCATAAATATTAATTACGTGCAAAAATTCGTGATGTTCTTTTTTGTGTTTTTTGTAACTCCCGTCGCTCTCCTGTTCGAAATGCCAGCGTTGCGGCAAAGTGTCTTCTGTTCTTAGCAAACGTTCGACCATAATTTCTTTTTACGTGAACTAATGAAAACTGTACATATATGTATATCACCATGCAGCATAGATATGCTGTGTATACACTGTTCTAACTGGTACAGGCATTCTTTTTTTTCAGCACTTACGCTGGCGCGAAAAAACGCAGCCTCGCGCCACACAAATTCTTAAGTGATCAGTTCACTAGTGATAAAAGATTGAACTACGGTTTTCTTTAGAGCATAGTGCACCATAATCTATTTCTAAGAACACGTGAACTCTCACGACAATTTCACGAGAACTGCCAGCACATGCAGCTTGTTCAATTATTTACGTGGTACTGTGCACCATCCCTGCCTCTCGGTTTTCTGTATTGGGCACTCTGATGCGAGGCACTGTAATTTCATTGCTTGGTAAGTTCAGAGAGCGCTTTACAATTCATCGGTACATCTTGAAGATGCTTTTTATGTTCTGCCTTTTTTTATTTTTTTCCATTCTTTTTTCTTACTTCCGAATCTGCCACTCTTCTCACTGTCGAGGAGTTTTCTGACATGTACTCAATTATTATTTCAACTTCAGCTTTGCAAGGGGAGTTGGTAGCGTACAGGCTACGAAATTCAAGCAAGACAAGCGAGAAACCTCAGGATGTCTGCGATGCATGCGGTTGCCAATTCCCCAAAGGTTTTGCTCCTAAACGTGCCCCATCTTCTAAAGATTATGGCGGCACTGGCCGTGAGCCCCGCTTAAGCAGAACGCTCTTTTTCATCGCTCACACCCATAAAGATCAGACCGGAGAGTTACAACAACAGATGACAGATTGGTTGGCATCGATCTTTTAAACATCCACCTTGAATAACAAGTCCTCCCCGAAGGCATAAGACAGTGATAGCATACCGGGCTTACCGGGATACCAGGCGAACCGTGATAACGGGATCGAAATGTGCAGATACGTACGTTGCCCGTACCGATTAGCATGCGTGCTATCTGCTTTTCAGCTTCAACCTTACCTTGTTAGCGTTGGTGTACGTAGTGTACGTAAAACATGGTGACGCTCTCGGGCGCCCGCTTTGAAGTAAGTTGGCGTGTAGTTGTTAAAAGATTCACTTTGTTCACACCAAACGACTGTTTAAAGTGGCTTCGCTTGCCTTCAGTTAGCTTTGATGACTGAGTATTACGAATTAGTTAGTGTAGTTTTCGAGATAGATTCCTATTTCGAAATCGTCTAAGCCTAACTACAAGATCGATGCAAACAAATTGGCAACATATTTTTTTCGCATATGGTGCATGGTTTGGTTCATATTTATTTACTCTCTATATTATTGAAATAAGCTTCATATATTGCTTGGCGCTGTATATCACAACTAGACAATCACGGTTTCTTTTCTTTTTCAACTGTCTTAATTCTTAACCATTGGATATCTGGCGCACGTACACCACGTAAACGCTATCGCGTTTAATTATAAGACGCTGCCCGCAACGAAAGTTTGCTGCACGATAGCGTCTTTTCTTAACATTCGCTATCACGCTAACGGTAAAATATAACTGCCTATTCTCTCTGTTCTTTACCGGGAACGTAGAGGCGTCTTCAGCTGAATGTGTTGTGTCAACCATAGGTGCCTGCTCAAGCAATCGGAAGAAAGTAGCTGAAGTTGTTCTTGGATTGAAATTTTCCGGACAGCCTTAAAAACAAAGTTGCTAACAATCGATTGGATGAGGTTAAACATCCGAAAACCACAATATGAATTTAAGAGACGCCGTAGTGGGGCGCTCCATAAATTTTACGACTTCTGGTCTCTAGCATGCACCTGTATCAAAGTGCAGGGACTTCGAGTATTCCCGCCTACATCGAAATACGACAAGAATTTGAGTCAGCAACGGAGAACCATAACCATTGGACAACCGTGGTGGCTAGTAAAAAAGACGGTTTTGGTAAAGTCACTACGCACTACTTTTCGTCCAGCTGTCAGTGCTCAAGTTCAACTGATGGAGATATATTGCTGGAAATGAGTCTCACACCATGGCAGGGTGCTTCCATTCTCTACCATTGCCTACTTCTTGCTTTTCGGTGATAGCTTGCACTTGCAGAGGTGGTTTGTAGATATGAAAGGTGTGAACAGCTATGCAATTACCAAAGTTTGCACGTAACATATCGCGCAAATGTTTGGCAACATATGCAGCATATAATATGACATGAATTGCGCAGGATAATTTTCGTGTCAATTGAAAAAGATAATCAACAGTATTCCGGTAGGTCAAGTGTCTGCTGTACATTGCTTGCACAGAGTTTATTTCATTTCTTGTAAAAAATTATGGTTACTATGTGTATCGTTCTTCACTTAGCATTATATGTTTGCTCATGCTTCTTCTATAAGTGAACTTTTTGTTGCGCATATGTCGCTAGTTGCATAAATCGCTCGGTATACTCCATAGAGTTTCCTAATATTCACTAGAGGGAGCTCTAGTACTAGTGTCTATGGGAGCTACAACGCCTGGCACTTCATCAAGCATGGCAATGATGGGTAGTACACAAATTTGTCAAGCCTTTGTACTTCTCGCTACGTGTGTGTTTGTGGGGCTTGGAGCAGTTTCCTCAAAAAACAAAATTGAGCAAATGTTCCACGGTTGCACTTCGCCACCTTATTGCTTTTGGCTTACCTTTTCAAATCTGGTCACAAAATTCAAAAGGGTTCGTTCTTTTCTACGCGGCAGTAAATGAAGCCACGAGGGCGATTTGAGCCCCGCAAGTACGAAGACTAGTCAAATCTGTGCACTACCCATCATCCCCATGGTCGCTGAACAATTGCAGCCAGAGTCCCCGCTTGTTAATTTAGGACTATCTATGGCGTACCCTTCTATAGTCCTGTCAACGTAAAGGGACGAACAGGAAGCAATTATATATAGAAAGGTAATTTCTCGCATGTTTTTTCAGTGTTATGCTTTTTATTCTTGTGCTGTTTTCTACACCACTGAAAAATAAAGCTTGTGTGCACTACAGCTGCCCACACTGCATTTCGTATAACAATGCTTGCTGCAATAAATAAATAAATAAATAAATAAATAAATAAAAATTTATTATAACAATTCTTTGCGTTGATGACCACCGTATTTTAATTATCAGGTTAAGTAATAAGATGAGTATTTTAGTAGGGCTCTGTAAGGTTGTGATGGGCCTACACTTTTACGCGTGTTGCAACTTCGTTACAAGGCAACACTCCGGAATGATTTAGCCGTTAGGGCATAGTAAAGACGTATCAATATATTGTACGCTCGTATACAAGAGAAGTTCGGCGAGTAAGCCGAATATTCTGTCGCACGCGGGTTTGTGTGTGTGTCTGAGTGTGTGTTTGTGCGCGTGGCTGTGTGTTCATATTTTAGCAGAACGTGCGGAGGTTCAATAGAAATGTTAGTCTCTGGCTTGAGTACTGGAGAAATGTGACTCTGGAGT